TCCTCCTCCTCCTCCTCGGCTCTATTGTCTGGTCCCCAAGACAACCACTCCGCTGGGGTGCTGGGGGGGAAGGGCTTTGATGACCTAGGAAAGAGAACTCTTAAGGCAGAACACTCGTGTACGTACACACACACACACACACACACACACACACACACACACACGAATATTATTAATAATTTGGAAAGATCTACTTACCAGTGAAGCTAGTATTTGCTGAGTAGACCCTTGGATGTCTAGTCTATTATTTATACTCTGTGCCTCAGTCTCCTCATTCCTAAAACAGTAAGGATCCTTTAGGAGTTCATTTAAGGAATGAAAGACATGGGGACGTAATGGCAAGCACATGACTCTTACTGTATTAGATGCCAGGTGAGTTGAGACCTTTGGTTCCTAATCCTTACAATGACCTATGTAGATATGGTTATCCCCATTTGACAGAAGTGGAAACCTGATGTTTGAGACACTTGCAGTAACTGACTTGTCAGGGACAGATGTGGGAATTGCACGCAGGGCTGATGTTGAAGCCTGTGTCTTTTCACCACCCCAGTTCTTTTCCCACCCAGAACTGCTGGGTTCTTGTGGGACCGATTTCAGTCGACAACACTGGACCCACCAACGCTTGTGCTTTGCTCCACTCATGTCTGGTCCAACCACACCTCAGGCGCCCACACACCTGTGTGGTACTGAGCCAAAGACAGGCGACAGTGCTCACACACACGTGTCACCGGAGATCAACACACAGGAGCACCCTCCTATGGAAAGATGCTCTGGAGAGAATCATTTTGCTCAGGAGTTATGCTATCCATACGTCTGTGCCAATCTGCCATTGGTCACAAGCAAACCCACCCGTTACACTGAAAAATCTGCACCCGGCCTCACAGAAGGGAATCACACACACAGATACATAAAATGTGTAACACTCTCGTGTGCTAATACTCCAAAGTAGTAAGAGATGAGGCATTGCATACACACGAAGGCTGATGTTTTGTTTTTGCACCAGAAACAGAAATTTCACATGTACACTGTCACACACCATCTCATTGTGTGAGCTGTAACCAGATCTAGGTGGCACAGGAAAAAAAATCAGTCAAAAGCCAGCTTACATTACACATATGTCCTAGACACACCCACACAGACCAATGGGCAAAGGGAACCTTAATCTAATGGGCACACACTCACATGTACACAGACAGCTTCAGACCCTCTGGGAAGCTGGCTTTTACCCAAGAGCTTCCTGCCTCCCAAAGTCTTCAGGGCATGTGAGTCATAGACTCCCCCCCCCCCAACACACCTTCTTCCAGCTGAGCCCAGGGCAGCAGAAACACAATCCTTCAGCAGACATGTGCAGGGGGTCCTGGACAGCCAGTCTGAAGAACACCTTCTCTGTCATCATAGCCAGCCAGTGGGACTTGGGAGCTTCCTTACATCTCCCCCAAAATCTCTCATACTCCCCCCCCCCCAGCCTCAGGCCCTAGCACTCCAGAAAGGGGCAGACAGTTCCCACCAACTTCCTTTCCTAGTGAACCAGGTCTACCTCCTTAAGCAGGAGTCCCACCTGTTGTTACCTACCTGTGCAGGTGGTCTGTCTCTACAGCTCAAAGCTCCAGCCGGTCCCGAAAGGCAAGAAGGTAGAGCCTAGTCCATCCTCTGCACCCCGCCCCCATTTCTAGCTCCCTCGGCAGCTGCCCCCTCCAGCTTCAGGCCCCCTGGGCAGACCCCTCCCTCTCTGCTGCCTGCCTGCCTGCCCAGCACTCTGCCTCTGCTCTGAAAAACCAGACTAGGGACTAGGGGGAGGGGGGAGGATCCCAAGAGAGGAAGTGGCATCTGACGCCCCAGCACCAAACCTGGGGGGCTGCAGGGGGGAAGGGAGGAGCAGGGAGGCTTCTCATTGTGTGAGGGAAATTTTATTTTTAACAGATGCTAAGGCAGATGGCGCAGAATTAACAGAAAATGGGAGAGGAAAGAGAGGAAGAGCATTACTGACTCCGGAGAGAGTGGACATTAAAAAAATAAAGAATAAGGGAATGAAAACAAGTTTAAGTGCTCTCTCCGGGGGGGAGGGGGGGAGGGAGGGGAGCTGAGAGGCAGAGAGGGACGGAGCAGCGTGGCGATAACCAGAGGCGTGAAATTACAAAAGTAAAATTTGTGGGACTCGGGAGGGGCCGAGAAGGCCCCAGTTTCATTGCAAAACTCACTCAGAAATTACTGGTGTGATGTTTGAGCTTTTATCATTAATAATAATCGAGAGGGGTGGGGGAGACAAAGGGACTCATGGGCTGGGGGGCTCCGAGGCACCAAAAGAAAGGAGGTTTGATCTGTAAGGGGGAGGGAGCCATCTCTGGGGCAGAAAGGGGAAGAGAAGGGAGGAAACACTCAGGGACGTAGAGCGGAAGTAAAGACACTGAGAATAAAAAATAAATCAGAATAAAGAACAGAGCAAACACAGGGGACAGGGGAGGGGCAGGCTGCACAAAGGGGAAGAAAGCGGGGGGGCTGGGGAAACCGAGGAAGCTGTTCAGAAGGAACTCAGACAAAGAGCAGGACAGCAGAAACGAGGCGGAGAGCAGAGGCCAGAAGAGCAGCAGCAGAGAGGGGCAGGTCGCGAGGAGCCCCAAAGATGACTGAGGAGGGGTCAAAGTGGCCCAAGTCAGGGACCACAGGGAACAGGGAGCAGAGAAAAAGATGAGCAAGGGGCAGAGGCCAAACAGAACTGATGGGAAAAAAAAAGAGACAGGAAGTGAGAGAGAGAGAGAGAGAGACAGGGAGAACCCGAGACAGACTCCACCGAGAGAACAAAGCTAAGGCTCTGAGACACAAAGAGAGTTGAGAGGACAGACATCTCAAGCCACACGGTCGGTGGAGAGGAGAAAGAAAGGACTGAGCTTTGGAGGCAGAGTTACAGAGAGGCTGTGGGGGAGACGACAGGGCGATCAGGAAGGGAGGAATGGATGGGAGACAAAGAGGAACGGCCGTTTATCTCTCCTCCCAAATTAATTGAGGCTACATCAGCCTGAGCCACTAAAACGGAGCGATTATGAATGGGTTAGTCACAGGTGGAGTTAAAGGCCTTCAGAGGGATATTAGCCAAAATTGAGTGGCTTTTAATTTCTTTCTAACGAGAGACAGTGGCTGGGGAGCCAGGCACCGCCTCCGCTCAGCTCTCCTGCTAAACACGGCGTGGGGGCAGCCCAGGCCACTCACCACCTGACCTGTGTGGCATAGGCAGCCAAGTGGAAATGGCCGTGTCTGTAACACGCCTGCAACATGCATGTGACATGCCTGCAACATGCTGGCAGCCATAAAGAGGGAAAGAAACCAGGACATCCTTGGAAATAGCCAGGCCAGGGAGTGTACAGGGGCAGGGGCAGAGGCTTCAGCAGGAGCTGAACAGAATATGATGTAGGGAAAGGGAGGAAGGAGGTAAACGCTGCCATAGAAAGGCCCTCCTATGGCTACTGGGTTCCCCAGTCATCCCGATACCACTTTTGAAAAAGGAGCCATGGTGTTGAAAGTACTGTTGCTAACTTCCCTGTGCAATAAAGACAGCCTGAACTCCGGGAACAGTACAGTGAACCGGAAGGGTGCTGAAATATGACTTCCTCCACCGCTTTCCCAGCTCAGTTCCAGGCACTCCTTCTAGCTGAGCTTTGGGAGTTACAGTCTCAAACTGTCTTCAACACTACAAGGCTATAAAGGAGCCTTCCCTACCCAGGGGACTCCATTGGTGGGCATGGGACACGTACAAGGGGACTCATAACCCAGGTGGCCACCTGTGGCCAATTGAATAAGGTGTGTGAGCTGGATAGAGGGTCGCTGGTCTAGAACGTGGGCAGTGAAATCTCAGAGTTCGTGACAAATGCTGACGTGGCTGTCCTGGAGGGTGAAGGCTGATAGAGGCCAGAAGAGGGACCTCAACGGGATTCTGTGGAGCCCAGCAAGAGGGTGGCTGGAGGTGACTCTTGAGAGGTGGATAAAGATGAAAGGTGGATGACATTTCTAGTGTGGGTACCAAGAAAAAGGGATGAAAGGGCACAAAGGACCTGAACTGACCCTCCGTGGACATGTGGGCTGTGAGGCTTGAAAGAGCATGGAACTCTGTTTCAGGAAGAGTGTCGAAGTACTACAGAAGGCATCTGGGGATCTAAGGTATTTGGGTAAAGTTACTAGATGGAAGGGGCAGGGGACAACATAGAAACAAGGAACAGGTGTGGTGGACCCGTGCAATCAAATCGCTAAAGGTCTTATTAATAAAAACCCGGAGACAGATACAGGGGTGAAAACCTGAGAGGTCATTGGAATACGAAAAGCCATAAGCTAACCTCACCTCACTGACACCTCAGCTTCCAAAGAGACTGACTTCCCGTATACCCACAACTATATGCCTTTCTGTTCTGCCATATCATTTACTCTCTCCGTCCAGCTACATCACTTCCTCTTCCTGTCCAGCTCTGTCACTTCCTGTCTGTCTGCACAGACCTCCATGGTTAACTAGTGTTGGAATTTAAGGTACGTGCCACCATGCCTGGCTCTTTTCCCAGTGTGGTCTTGAACTCACAGAGACCCAGACAGATCCCTGCCTCCCGAGTGATAGGATTAAAGGCATGTGCGACCATTGCCTGATTTCTATGTTTAATATATATTGGGGGACACAGATAAAATATCACCACAAACCCAAGTGAAGAGGACAGGTACAAGGTGGAATAGGGGAAGGACTTGGTAACTAACATGTGGGCTGAGGACAGACTGCAAGAGAAGACCTTGCTTACGGTGTCAAGGTCAAGATCGGGGTCTGGAAGAACGCACAGGCCCACAACAACTCCTACACAACAGGAGTAAAGTTGGATGGGGGCTGAGGTGGACATCAAGGTGCTGGCTTCCATCCAAGAACCGAAAGCCGCTGAGGGAAGCAGAGCAGTTAAATGAAAATGCATTCATCTAAATGTCTTGGTGGTCCAGCTTCTTCTTCTCTCTCAGCCACTAATGAGCTTCCAGACCTGGGACAAGGCACTCCATCTCCCGACTTCAGAGTGTTCACCTCTGAAGTGTGAGCATTGGCTGGGCTCAAGCTGAGCTTTCCTCCAGGTTCTGGGACTCTGACACTCAGGAGCAGAGACCTGAATAGGAGCAGAGATGGGGACCAGAGAGAGATGGTGATGATTCTCCCTGTCCTCCTGTCCCCAGAGCCAACAGCTGCGACCCCTCCCCCTCGCAGCAACTCTATTAACACTCAATTAGGGGGCCTGATGGGCCCGAGCCGGAGGACTCTCCTACCACATACACAGGCAGGCCCCCACTCAGAAGTTGGTCTGATGAGCCCATTGGGAGAAGGCTTCACTCAAATTTATAACTTACTGCAGAGGCAGCCCACCAGCCCCTGCCTCCTCTCTCTCTGTCCTCCCAGGGCAGAGCCCATAGGGCTGGGGTGGATGGAGGAGGCTGAATGGAGGACGCCAGAGGGTGAGGGGAGGTTGGGAGCAGGGACGTCAGTGCCCACGCTAGAGGAGATACAGAGATGAAAGAGAGAGGGCCCCGGAGCAGAGGAAGTGGGAGGGGAGACACAAGGAAGAGCCGTGAGAGTGTGTGAGAGAGAAAAATGACAGGCCCTGAATATTGGGCGCCCTCACTTTAAATCAAGATAAAAGACTGAAGTGGAAAATGAGAGTCCGGAGAAGCCCCGGACGGCTCGGGGCGCTAATGGAAACACATGGCTGCCGGCTGCGGGCTTGTCAGCTTCCCCCGGCGCTGCCATTCCCGTCTGATAATCCGGCCTGCCATAAAATTAGACTAGCAAATACCTCCTGACAAAGATGCATGTTTCTCTCTATTGTGCCATCATAAAAAAAACTCCGCTGGTGACTCGGGGAGCCGCAAACTTCAATTTAAATTTACAGTGCTGCGGAAGGAAAGTGATATGCACTCAAAAATTTTAATAACCTATTAAGTTACGACTTCAATTTCATTTTATGAATATTTTCCTTGGGGAGCACGGCTATCACAGAGAAAGATAGAAATTTAAAAAAGATAAATAGTGCCATTAATCTCCAACATTTCTCTTCCATTATCCTTGAAAATTAGGAGTTATTTTTGTTCAGATCTTCATGTAATTAGCTCCCTCCACTTGATTCACTAGCCAGAAAATGACCATGTTCAGAAAATTAAAAATTTGTCATTAAGTGGAATTTAACATAATATCATTTATCTTTATCTATTCCCCAGCTGACAGCAGGAAGCCTTGGCTGCAGTACCGGCTGGTGTTTCAGAGTGGGGAGGGACTGCTGGGGAGAGGCGCTGGGAGACAGGGATAGAGACCGAGGGAGGGAGAGAAGGAAGGCCAGCAGGGAGGTGGCCAGTCTCGGGAGAGGAGAGGAGGGAGGAGGCCTAGGGAGCTGAGGTGTCTGCTCCCGCCGCGGAAGAGGCGGAGACTGTCGCTGGAGGCGGCGGGGCCTGGGGCAGGTGGGAGGAGCTGGGGGTAGAAGAGGACAGGCAGCAGGTAAGGCCCGAGTGGGAAGGTGGTTGGTGGGCGGAGCTGGGGTGAAGACAGAGGTCCAGTGGAAGGAACCCTCGGAACATGAGGCTGGAAAGGGGTGGGAGAACTCAGGATCATGGATCCCCTCATCCAGAGGGAACCTGACGTCGTCATCATCCTGACCACAGTCT